ATTATTTTGACCTCCCAGACTCTTTAAAAGTGTTTGGGAGTCTCCAGATCACATTTGAAGAACCAGTGTTTATTCAGTGTTAATTTGGTATGGAAATAAATAAAAACACACAGTTACTTACATATAAATATATATGTCAGGCAGACATGTATGTTTTCATTTCTATACTTGCATAGTCTATAGAGTATTTCTATATTATAAAGTGTTCTGTTTGAAAAATTATTCTTAAGCGTTACAGGTTGATAAAAGGATCTAGCAAAAAATGTGGTCTTACTGTGTCAGTCTACCTGAAAAGTAACCACAAGTGTTGATCACGTTTCATTCATTCAATTTTAAACCTCATCCTGAATAGTCTTTTTTTTCCCCCCGGTACTGAGGATCAAACTCAGGACCTGGCACTTGCTAGGCAGGCATGGTGCCACTGAGCTACTTCCCTGGCTCTCCTGAATAGTCTTTTAAAAAACTTTTTATTTTAAATAATTATGGATTTAGAGGAAATTGCAAAAAAATGTACAGGGAAGTCCCATACATCCTTCAGGCAGTTTCTCCCAATGATAATTATCTTGCATAACTCAGTACAGTGTGAAAACCAGGAGACAGACATTGTTACAATCTACAGAGATTATTCAGATTTCACTAGTGGTGCATGTGTAATTTTATGAAATTTTATTCCATGAACACCAGTGTGAGTAATATCACAATTAAGACGCAAAACTGTAGTCAGGCATGTTGGTGAACCTATAATTCCAGATACCTAGGAGGCTGAAACAGGAGGATTGTGAATTTGTAGCCAGCCTGGGAAATAACGACTAGTCAAAATATAGATTATATGTTTAAATTTTAAAAAATGTTTTACAGTAAAAGATACATTGCCACTAATCACCCTCAAAATACTCACCTTGCTTAGAACACACTTATTCCATCATTCTTGAGGAAAGTGGCATTGTTTTACCATTCTGCAAATCTCTTTAATCTTTGGCCTAGTAGAACACAGCTAGGTCTCATGCACTTTTTTGGGGGGTACCTGGGATCGAACTCGGGTCCTTGCACTTGCAAGGCAAGTGGCAGAACCACTGAACTAAATCCCCAGCCCTCATGTGCTTCTTTATTCAATCTATTGCTATATCACATGTCATGGAGCCTCTAAAATTTTTTTCTAAAGCAGTTCTGGAAGTCCTCTTTTGAGAGTGACTTTATGAGGTGTGATGAAAAATACAGAGAGTGCTGCTGCCCAGTGCCATCCAATGGATGGGCTTGTGAAAATACTAGGGTGTGTTATCATGTACTTTATTCACAGGATCTGGCTCTGTATGATTTCTGACTCTTTCCCAAAGTCAAAATGACCACGAAAGATAAACAATTTGAATTGATTCAGGTCATTAAGACTGCTATGACAGGGCCGGGGGATTTAGCTCAGTGGTTCCGGGGCCTGCCTCACAAGTGCAAGGTGCCGAGTTCGATCCCCTGTACCAAAAAAAAAAAGAAAAAAAAAAAGACAGCTATGACAGTGTAACTATAAAAATATTAGTGCAATCATAGAATATGCAACTTTCACTCAGTACAATTCCCTTCAGCTCCAGGTAAGTTACTGCGTATATTAACACTGTGTTCTTTTTTTGTTGTTGCCTAGTATTTCACAGTATGGAAATAATATTATTTGTATAACTATTCACCTTTTAAAAGTCTTTTGTATTGTTCCCAGTTTTAGGCTGTCATAAATAGTTTCTATGAATATTTATATATAAGTTTTGTGTGAACATAGTTTTCATTTATCTGAAGTGAAAGCCTAAGAGTACAACTGCTAAGTCTTAAGTGCACATTTTGTTTTATAAAAAACTGCCAGATTATTTTCCAGAGTGACTGTACCATTTTACATTCCCAACAACGTCTAAATTATTTTCTTTATTTGTATCCATGCCAACATTTGGTGGTTTTTTAATTTTAGCCATTTTGGTAATTATAGTTTTAGTTTGCATTTCCTTAATGGCTGAGGGTTTTGAGCAGTTTTCATGGGCTTATTTTCCATCTATCAATCCTCTCCAACATAATGCTCATTTTATAATTAAAACTTTTTAGTGTTGTGTTTTGAGAGGTCTCTTTATAGCCTAGATTCTAATCCTTTGTGATGGGGCTTATAAATATTTTTCCATGTCTTTATCTTGCATTTTCATACTTTTAACAGAGGATTAGCCCATAATTTGGATAAGGTATAATTTGTTAATTTTTCCCTTATGGACGATGATTTTGGTATTATGTCTAAAAACTTCACTTTACCTTAGGTCCTGAAATTGTTTTCCTATTTTTCTTTCTAAAAATTTTTATAGTTTTACATTATCATTCTCATTTTCTTGTGGTACTAAGGGTTGAATCCAGGGGCCTACTCATGCTAGGCTAGTGATGTACCACTGAGCTACATCCCCAGTACTTTAAAAATTTTATTTTGAGACAGTGTCTTGCTAATTTGCCAAGACTGGCCTTGAACTTATGATCCTCCAGCCTCTGCCTCCCAAGTAGCTGGCATTACAGATGTTTGTCACTGTGCCTCATTATTGTTTTACATTTCACATTGAAGTTCATGATCTATTTGGAGTTAGTTTCCATATAAGATGTGAGGTTTAGGGTTTTTAAAAAAATTTCTTCTTTTGCTCAGAGATGTATAGTTGCTCTGGCACAGCTGTGAAAAGTTGCATTGTATCTTTGTCAAAAATCAGCTCTGTGTGTGTGTGTGTGTGTGTGTGTGTGTGTGTGGTCTATTTCTGAGTTCTCTATTCTGTTCTATTAGTCTGTGTAGCTATCTCTGTGTCAATGCTGTTTTGATTATTGAATCTTTCTAGTAGGCTTCCTCCACCCTGCTCCATGCTGGGGATTGAATCCAGGACTTTGTATATGCTAGGAAAGCACTCTACCACTGAACCATACCTCCTGATCCTATAAGTCTCAATACTGAAAATAATGACTTCTCTAAATTCACTTCTAAAATTATTTTAGTTATTCTTCATCCTTTGCCTTTCAATGTTATTTGTTATCATATAATAATAAGATCTATAAAAACTGTGCTGGGATTTTGATAGGTATTTTGTTTAATGTACAACTTAATTTGAATAAAACTGGTATCTTTACTAAGTCTTTCAATCAATGAATATGATGTTTCTCTAGTTATGTATTTAGATCATCTTTAATTTATTTCACTAGCATTTTATAATTTTCAGCATACAAGTTCTGGCATATTTTGTTGACTTATAACTATTTTATTTTCTTTGGTTCAGTTGTAAAGAGTATTTTGCTTTTGATTTGTTTCCCCAATATTGTTTTTAGTATATAGAAGTACAACTGGGTTTTATGTATTAAGTTTATGTCATGTGGTATGTTGCCTTTTTGATTTTTTTCAAAAAAGCACGAGTGTGTCATCTATAAATCAGAACAGTTTTATTCTTCCTTTCTGATCTGTGTGCCTTAAATTTCTTTTTCTTGCCATATTGTGCTGTCTTAAATTTCCCATACTATAATGTTGAATATTGAATGAGAGATGAGAGTGGATACTCTTACTATGTTGCCAATCTTAGGGGGAAAGCATTCAGGTCTTTTTCACCAGTAGTTTAAGTATGCTGTTAGCTGTAGAGTATTTTGCTGAATACTCTTTATCAGGATGAGAAAAACTTCCTTAATTTCTATTTGCAGAAAGTTATATTTTTTATCACAAAAGAATATTAGATGTCAATTTTTTTTTCTGGGTCAATTGGCATATATTTTTTCTTCTTTATCCTATTGAGATGGTAGATTACATTTTCAAATATTGAGCCAGCCTTGCATACTATGACTTATTCCTAGTTGGTCATGTTTGTCTAATTCTTCACATACATTGGTAATTTTAATTTGCTAGTATTTTGTTTGGGATATTTGCATCTAATTTCATGAAAGATATTGGCCTGTTATTTTCTTTATTCTGTTTCTGCCTGGTTTTGGTGTTGATAATCCTGGCTTTGTAAAATGAATTGGCAAAATGGTTCTTGCTTCTATTTTCTAAAAGCTGCTCTAAAATTGGCATTAATTTGGGCCGCGGATTTAGCTCAGTGCTTCCTCTGCCTGTCTCACAAGCACAAGGTCCCGAGTTCGATCCCTGGTATGAAAAAAAATTGGTATTAGTTTGTCTTTTAGTGTTCTGAATTGTCTTTTAATTGATAATTGACTCTGTCTCTCTTATCTCTCCTGGTTTGAACATGAATAATCCATAATACTCTTACTTAAAAAATGGGGAAAAAATTGCTCATTTAATCTTACAGAAAGATTTTTCCTGGGATATGTGGGGGTAAAATCCAAATTTCCTTTCACCCCATTCTTGGATGCAGTGAGTTCAATGCCTGGGTATGGTCAGTCACACAGCTGATCTTGGATAGCTTGATCTCATGCACTCACAATGTTTAGGTAAAGCTGTATCTAGAGGTCTAAACAAAGGAGTGCTAAATGTACTAGATGGAAAACCTAAACAGGAAATGTTGAGCAACACTTTCTGCTGCTTGCCCTTGGCACATTGCTGGGTTAGCATGTACTCATTAATAATGAGATTTAGACACCATCTGCCACCAGTGAATGAAAGGTAGGAGGACAGTAGATCTTTCTTTCTGTTCTCCACCCTGGCAATGTATGAATGGGAAGGATATATACATATATATCCTTCAGTGTTGTTAAATATTATCTAATTTAAGTTCTGTGTTTTTACAAATGAAGATACTTAACAGGATGGTATATTTAAAAAGCTAATTTATTGTTATTATCAAGCCCAATTCTATTTGCTTATGTGGGAAATGGGAAGATTCAATTCTTTACCTCTTTCCTAAAGAGAAATTGTTTCTATTTACATGGCTTTAGAATGTGTTGGGAGCTGAAAGCATAGGGGTCAAACATTAATGATTATTGGTAGTAATGTTAAAATTACTGGTTGTTGTTATGACAAGATTAGATTATTATTGCTATTACTATTTTTTGCCATGTCTGTTTTGCAGGGGAGCCATGGATTACTACAGAAAATATGCAGCTGTCATTCTGGCTACCTTGTGTATGTGTCTGAATGTTCTCCATTCTTTTCCTGACAAAGAGTTTACAATGCAGGGTATGTGACTAAACTTGGGTTTGAAGTAGTAAGGAAGGTACTTATTGCTAGATGTACATCAATAACTCCATTAACTACATTTCTACTTCCTTTTCAAATGTGGTAATTCTTTACTGCTGGATACCTATCTAGGCACTTGTAGATTGTGAACATAAAATTAAATTAGGTTCATAAAATGTACAGTAAAAATAGTATCTTAAAAATCCATTTAAATAGAAGCCTGCACATTTTCATCTGCAATAGATTCCTTATTATTCTTTATCTGAGTTTTATAAGGAGGAAATTCTCCTTATTCAGTTAGCTCAGTCCTTCTATTTCTTCCAGAAGTCTTGAGAGTTTAACATTGCCTTTGGATGTTCACATCAGCTAGTGAGAAAAACAAAATCATTTTAGGCAGTATATTTGTTTTGTTGTATTCTTTGAAAAATCTCATATAATGGCTGATATAATTCCATCACCTTTGAAACTGTGAACTAATTGGTTATAGTTTTTCTTTGGAGAAATGGTAATATTTTCATCCCATGTCCCAAATGCAGATGTCTTATTCAATATCAGGCTCTCTACACTCACCAAGTTTGCTTAACTCTGACATATTTTTCCCTGACAATATTTGAAGTTTCTATGGGGAAAAAAACAATAGTAATCATAAAGAGGGAGCTATTTTGCTTCGGGAAAAATTCTTCTTTCAGGTAGATGCGGCATTTTCATCTGTCAAGTTTTGTGTTCTCTCTAAGAATACTGTTAAGCCTGGGGTAGACAATCCATGCTTGAAGGGAGAGAAACTATTGAAGCTGAGATTCCCACGCAAGTCTGCAAAAATTGTTTTCCCAGGAGGGTAATTGTCCATATAAAGAGTAACATATGGCCAAAAAGATTGATTTCCTCTTTATTTTAAATAGAAAAATATTTAGCATCTCATAATAAAAAATATTCATAGCTTCTCTTTGAATCATTTTTGGGGTTTTTACTCCTTATGTTTTTTATCTGATAGGTTGCCCAGAATGCAAGCTAAAGGAAAATAAGTACTTCTCTAAGCTGGGTGTCCCCATTTATCAGTGCATGGGCTGCTGCTTTTCCAGGGCATATCCCACTCCAGCAAGGTCCAAGAAGACAATGTTGGTTCCAAAGAACATCACCTCAGAGGCCACATGCTGTGTGGCCAAAGCATTTACCAAGGTAAAAATATGAAGGGCACCAGAAGTTTTCTAACAGCCCAACAGAGAAAGGTTGATGAAGCACATTCATGGGCTTCAGTATGGGCATCTGTATGGGTGGGGCTGCATTTGTGCCCTTTAATTAAAAGAATCAGCTAAGGTAAACAAGTAGATTTTATAAAATTATAGAACAGAATAGTGGTCACTAGAGGCTATGAAAGGTCAGAAGGATGGAGGACAGAGGGAGGCTGGATATTGAGACCAAATATAGCTACATAGAAAAGACAAATTTTAGTGCTTTATAGCACAGTAAGGGGACAGTAATTCACTACAATTTATTTTATATTTTATAGAGAACTAGAAAAGATAAGTCCAAAGTTTCCCAACACAAAGAAATAAATGTTTGAGGAGACAGAAGTGCTAGTACTCTGATTTGATTATTATACACTGCATATATGTATCCAATTATCACACTGTACCCTATTAATATGTACAATCATTATATATCAATAAAAAAGTTTCAAAAAAGAGTCAGGGGATCGGTTTGTAGTGCAGTGGCAGAGCACTTGCCTAGCATGTGCAAGGCCCTGGTTTGACCCCTAGCACCACAAAATAAATAAATATAGAAAATAATTGATGAGGTTTTTTTTTTTTAGGGATTGGGGATGTGGCTCAGTGGCAGAGCACTTACCTAGGATGCATAATGCTCTGGGTTTAACTTCCAGCACCATTTTGAAAAAGAAAAGAAGAAAGAATGAAAAGAGTCAGTCACCTTGTAGGTACAGGCTGGATTTATTCAGAATGGACAGGTTAAGAAAATGTGAATCTCAACTTTTAGAATGAAAATGTCATTGAGAAAGGAAGAGTAAGCTAATGTAGCAATCATCCATTTAGCTCAGATGACTATAATTTTATTTAACATTTCCCAATTTTGTCTCTTTCTCTCATTTTCTTCCCTTCCTCCTTAGGCCACAGTTATGGGAAATGCCAGAGTGGAGAACCACACGGAATGCCACTGCAGCACTTGTTATTATCACAAATCTTAAACATTTTCCAAAGTGCATGATGATGACTACTGATTTCATAGGATGGAAATTTAAGTGGCTCAGTATTTATATCTTGACAGGTTAAAGCCCTCCTTTTCCTAACAAGACCATTTTGATGTGCTTCAAGCATATACTGCAGCTTTATTCCCTTTCTCCTTATCCTACAGTATAGTCAGCAGTCTAACTCTTTTCATCCAGAATGAAATAGAGCATTTAGCATGATCATAAAAAGCTGGTTCCATTGGAAATAAAGCCTTTAAACTATCATTCACTCACTGAATTATTGCTTTTTTTCTCAAAAGTAAAGCCAATTGCTTTTGATAGAATTTATGAAGGGAGGGAGACAATGGAGAATGACTTTGGAGAATCTTAGTTCCCACCAAGCCTTCTAGAAGCAAGCTGTGAGTCCTTTTAGTCACTTGGTCAGTTGTGAGACAATGTACTGGAATGGAAGAAGAAAACACAAGAACTTCTACTTCTCTTCATTTTTATAGCGCCCTTTAAATTTCCATTTTGATAGACTTTACAATAACAGTTACAAAATTATGATAATGCATGTATGCAATTTATAAATGAATAATTATGTTCATATTGGGGATGCTTGATCAGAAACATTTTATTGGTAAATATGTACAATCAATAAATGAAGGACTGAGATGTAGAGCATAGTGGTAAAGCCCTTGCCTAGCTTGTACAAGGGCCTGGGTTTGATCTCTGGGACTGAAAAAATACCCCCAACACCAAAACAAAACAAAAAACCCCAACCAACCAACCAACCAACCAATCAACCAACCAAAAAAAAAAAATGGTGATCTGAGGGTTTGGGAAAGACAAAATCTTTCCCAACCTGAAGTTTCTACTTGGTTTATGCCTGATCAAAAAGGAAGTGCATCTTGTTATTCTCTGGCAGTCAGGCTGTAACCAAAAGATGGCTCAGGAAAGGGTGGCATTGTCATCAAGTAAAATTGTGCATTTTTCTAAAATTTCAGAGATATTGGATCTTTTGTTGCGAGTTTGAGTCTGAGTGGGAATGCATAAATAATGAGGAAGATATCCATTGAGCACTCACTGTGGGCTAGGTGGAGTACCAAACACTTTTACTTAGTTCCTGCACAATGTCTCAAATAGGTGCTGTGCTTCGAACTCATGTTCACCAAGCATGCAGATTTAGAAATGATGTGGTTCTTCCTTACAGACAACAGTTTTATACCTTTGAAATCATAGATCAAAGCTACCCAAAAGCTCTACTCCTATAGGAGCCTGAAATTTTAAAACATAAGCTTGCAATTTAAAAATATCACACCAGTCACAGATAAAATTTAAAAAGAAATTTCAGCCTTCACCAATTTTTCAGGATCCCATCTCTGAGTGACAAACCAGTTTCTTAGAAGCTTGGAAAACAGAGCAGATGTCAGGGTAAAAAGTTCAAGGGGGAGAGCCTGGGATGTAGCTCAGTGGCGCTGCACCTGCCTGGCAAGCACAAGGTCCTGAGTTTGATCACTGGTACTGAAAAAAAAAAAAAGTCCAAGGTGGTGTGCATACTTCTTAAGAAACACGGAAACATATGAGAAGACATTAATTCTTTCGTTCATTCATTTACAAGTGCTTATTATACATTTATTGAATGCCTAGTAAGTGTTGATATTTTGTTAGATTGTGAGAATTCAGAGATACCACGATTCTGCAGAAGTTACGGTTGGGAAGAGACAATGTGGCTTAATATGAGAGAAGAATGATGCTGATCATTGGTTCATTCAAATACTTAGCAGATTGAGAACCCACTGCATGCCAGGCTTGAGAGCTTATTTGGAGGTCCTCAGGGGAGGAAGGCAACTACTACACCCTTGACTGGAGAGTCCCTGTTGGTCTGAGATGATCTTGTTTGACAGAGGAAATGAATGGGTAAAATGTCATAGTCATACTGGCCTCCCAGTTTTTCATATGCCAAGCTTGAGGCTGGTCCTTGGAAGGCCAATGTGAATAAGACATAGACACTACCTGAAGCAATTCAGACCACTGGGGAAGAGAGACATGGTTGTAATCTACTGAGAATACATTATGGGAGGGGTCTGGACCTTGGTGGCATAAAGGGAGGGATGGCTAATTCAGCCTTTTGAAGTTTTTCATGGAGAGGTTCACAGGGGAAGGTGGTACTTGAGCCGAGTCTAGAAGATAATTAAGTAGTTGGGAAGGAGTGCATTCTAGGTTGAGAAAACAGCAAAAGGAAACATCCTGAAGTTATAAACAGTAGGGTGGTCATAGAACTGCAAGGAATTCAGTGTGACTGAATAGCAGCAAATTGGAGGAGCAGAACTGCAGAGACAAATAGGGAAAAACCGAAAGCGTTCCTTCTAAAATTAAGAACAAGACAAGGATGTTCACTATCACCACTCCTTGAAACATTAGCCAGAGCAATGAAGAAAGAGAAAGAAATAAAAGGAATACATATAGGAAACAATGAAGCCAAAGTATCATTATTTGCAAATAACATGATCTTCTACCTACAAGACCTAAAAAATCCCACCAAAAGACTCTTAGAATTAATAATCAAATTCAGCAATGTGGCAGGATAGAAAATAAACACACAAATGTCAATAGCATCCCTATACACTAATAATGAATTCACTGAGGAAGAAATTAGGAAAACAATACCACTCATGATAGCATCAAGAAATTAAACACTTAAAAATTAATCTAACAAAGGAAGAGAAAGACCTCTACAATGAAAATTATATCACTCTGAAAAAGGAAATTGAGAAGGATATCAGAAAATGGAAAGATATTCCTTGTTTGCAGAGAGGCAGAACCAATACCCTCAAAATGGCTATACTTCCAAAACTGAGCTATAGATTTAACACAATCTCAATCAAAATACCAAAAGCATTTCTCACAGATCTATAGAAAACAATCCTAAAGTTCATATGGAACAAGAAGAGACCCAGAATTACAACAGCAATCCTGGGTAATAAAAACAAAGTGAGGGCTGGGGATTTAGCTCAGTTGTTCCGGCGCCTGCCTCGAAAGCACAAGGTCCTGAATTTGATCCCCAGTACCAAAAAAAAAAAAAAAAAGCAAAGTGGGAGACATCATAATTCTCAATTTGAAGTCATACTACAAAGCTACAGTGATTTAGACAGCATGGTACTGGCACAAAAACAAGCATGTGGATCAGTGGGACAGAATATCAGAAGTAGAAACAACCCCAGGCACATTCAGCTATTTGGTATTTGACAAAGGGGCCAAAAACATACACTGGAGGAAAGGTAGCCTCTTTAAATAAGTGGTGCAGAGAAAATTTGATGCAGTATCTACATGCTGAGTATTGAGTCTAGACCCATATATTTCACCATGTACTAAATTTAAATCGAGTATCTATGTGCTAAAACAGAAACACTTAATCTGCTGAAAGATAAAACAGGTAAAACTTTTGAAGACATAGGCATAGGAAAGGACTTCCTGAACAGGTATTTTCTTGAAAGAGTTAAAGACATCATATCACAGAGATACTTGTGTACCCATGTTTATATTAGCACAATTTATAATAGCTAAATCTTGAAAATGGCCTATATGTCTATCAGCAGATAAATGGATAAAGAAATTGAGTATTTATACATACTGGAGTACTACTCTGCCATTAAGAAAGAAAAATTTGAGGCATTTGTAGGTTAATGGAGACAACTTGAGACCATAAGGTTAAATGATATAAGTCAGATACACAAACTTGAACATCGAATGGTTTGCCTTGTACGAGAACACTTTCTCTCTCTTTTTCTCTCTCTCTCTCTCTCTCTTTCTCTCTCTCTCTCTCTCTCTCTCTATGTATACATATATATAAATGGATAGGAAAACAAAAGATGGGGAGAGGGTGGAGGAAGGAGGAAAGAGGATGGAAAAAATGAATTGAAGAAAAAAATGATGAAAAATGCTGAAAATAGGGCTTTTGCAAATGGGAAGGGGACCAAGAGTTGGGGAGGGGGAAGGATAGGAGATTAAAAAAATAAAAAAGGATTAGGATGTATTATGTACATGTAGCAGCTCCACACAATAATTGCAAACATGCATTAATTAAAAAAGAAGATCCTGGTGTAACATGCAAAGAAATGTGAATTTCAGCTAGGATTTGGGTTTCTCAAACTAGAGGGTTTGAGGCTTTCTGAAGCAACAGGCTAAACAAGCATGTTTCTGTGGATCAGTTTTGCTTGAGTGTTAGAAGAAATGCGATTTTCATTTTAAAACAAAAATTCATATAGAATAGAAAGCAGAACAGCAAGACCAAAATTAAAGCCAACGACTTAAAAAAGAAACTTCATGCTGTGAATGGGTCTTTCCAGATCTTACTCTTTTGATCCCTCCCAAACCTGATTTCTTCTTGTGTTAGGAGTTCTTAAGTGAAAAAGTTTAAGAAGTTCTATAAAAGAAATAATATGTTCAGCTTTGCAATTTAGAAAGTCATTCTGGCAGCAAATAAGGGGGGATTTGAAAAGGTGAGAGACTGCACTCAGGATAGCTGGCTGGGTTCTTTGCAATTGTCTTGTCAAGAGACGGTGTGGTGCACTGATAGAAGTAGAACTGGAGGGAGAAACAGACCATTAGGAAGGAATAAAGACACGACTGTGTAATTAGAGACATTTATAGCTAAGTGGATGCACATTGAGGCAATACTCTTAAGTGAAATAAATAGGACACACATGTGTAAATACCGAATAGTTTCTCTTGTATGAGAAACTGAAAGTGTAAATAAGGACTAAATGTATAGTAGGTAATGTGAAATAGGAGGAAAAGGGGCAAAGGGGAAGGAAGTGGGACAGCTAGGGGAAAGAATAGAAGGGAATGGGATTAATATGAGAAAATGGAAAAATAGGAACAAAATCTTTGTAAATAGGGAGGACTGGAGGGGTTGAAGGGAGGACTGGGCAAGGGTGAAAAATAAGAACCAAGAGAGACTATGTAAAGGTGCAAATTTCCAATGATGAATATCATTATATTGTATACCTAAAATGTACCAATGATTAGAATGAATAATCGATAATGTAAAATAGGAAGAAAAGGTCCAAAGGGGTAGGGGTAGTGGGAGGGGCAGGGGAAAGGAAAGAAGGGAAAGGAAAAAATGCTGAGAAATGGAAGAAATGGAAATAAAGTCTTTGTAAATAGGGAAGGGTGGAGGGCGTGAAGGGAGGGCTAGGAATGGGGAAAAAATAAGAACCAAGATGCATTATATAAAGGTACAATTCCCAATGAGAAATGTAATTGTGTTGTATACCTACAAGGTAC